TTTTTTTTTTTTTTTTCCTGTTTCTTTTAAGAGTTCAGAGTTACAATTTAATCCTGGCTCTTTAGTGTGAAGGACAGTTTTGGCCTAGACTTTCCTTTGCCCAGGATCTTTTTTTGCTCTTCCTTTTGCTGACGTTGTCTCTCTTGTTCTAGTTTCATCCTCTCCTCATGAATCTTTCTTTGTTCTTCAACAATTTTCAATTGTTCTTCAGCCTACATATGAAAATAGCAGAACTCAGGCCAACATATTCTGTAGTCATAAAAGCAGTTTACAGTTCTGTGCAATTCCCAAACGTAAGTAGTTCTACTCTAAGCACCATAGTTACATGAACCAAGTTTAAAAGAAACAATAAAATCTCTACAGACTTTTACACTAATAGATGAACACCAAAATACTGAATGCTTACATATAAGGTTTTTCAGTATTGCTCTGTAAACACCATATTGAAATATTTTCATTTATGAAGCCAATGTATGCAGTCCTATTATAATTTCATATTTAAGATCAAGATACAAATAAAATATAGCAATGCCCTCTCAAACAAGCCACCCTCCAAAAACAATGTCCAAAACACCTTCCTAATTCAAACTAGTTCTCACTAGTTTGACTAGCGACTTCCAGCAAGACCTTAGACTGACGATGCTCTATTACTGCATGGAGTAAGTGAAACAATTAATGTGCTACTTATGGACCTGCCTGCACAAAGTAAAAATCACAAACATTTCCTAAACAGAATCTCTTTGGATATCTTCTGAAGTTGCCGATTTTGTTCCTTAAATCAGTTAGCAYGTCATCTTTTCCTATTTGTCCCATTTCCTCCATAGAAGGCCAGGAAAAGGATAAAGTAAGCAACAGCACCTCAGGGTGAGATCTAAAGCAAACGCAGGTCAGGCAGACAGTTTTAAAAGAGATCTCATTCACCTGAGAAAGTTGTAATTAGTTGAGTGACTTACAAACTGTTCCAGCAGGATTTTAAAGAAGCTTAGTTTGGCTTATCATAAATTGATTAGAATCAGCCAAGTCACACTACATATACTCCTGAGGCAGGCACCTGCTTAAACTGCTGCGACRATGAACATGATTTAAGACTTTGATAATTTAGAAGTCTTAAACTTATGGGCTCAAAGTCCCTTTCAGCACCTGTATAGTAACATTACACTAGTCTCAATCCAGTTTGTACTTGTCCCACTCAAGAAGATAGAATTAGTCATTCTCATTCTAGAAATTAAACATGTATTTGCAAGCATCCCTGTGAAATACTGCTAAAGTGTACTTTTAAATTAAAGGTAGCAATCTTTCTCTAAATTAGCTGCACAAGAACTAGTTTCTGACTAGTTTCAGAAAACTGTTACTGCTAAAAAGCTGGTCTCGCTCTACAGAGAACAATCCTTATGGACACAGCCAGCAACAGAGAGGTTAAAAATCCTGTGCATTTTAATTGCACTGCAAATTAGGCAGAGGGATCTGTATTCTACTAGAAGACTTTAACTACATGTTCACATACCAGTTTAGCTTGTGCTTCTGCAATTTTCCGATTATTCTCTTCTAGTATTCGCTCTAGTTCCTCACGCTTTGCACGCTCTTCTTCCTAAAGGGGAGGACAGGGCAAGATGTTAGTAAAGTAAAATACTCATTTCTGCACRTTCACTAATCTTTCTCAGAATTCTTTCGTGAACTGACTTAAAGTGGTAGCTTTAGAGCCACCTATTTTGTCTCACAAAGGTAAATTGTGCAGCCACTAAATCTGGTCTCTAGAACTAAATTTATATCACCCCGCCCAGTCCAAACAGCAACCAACTAAACCCTCCCTAGTCATAGAAACCTGACAATTTATTACTAGAATTTTAATATCACACAAATCAACAAGGACAACTACAAAAACTGGATAGTATTTACCAAATTAAAAAGCAATATATAAAATATAAATAAAGTGAATAGTTTGTCTCACCAATTAAGTATACCTACGTATTCTTTACCTATACTCCTTTAATCAGCATTAAAAGTTGAATATTTACTGTCTTGTCCAGTGTCCTGCAGAGTGTGCTCCTCGGCTGCCATACGCGCCAGCTTCCTCTTTAAAATGATTTGTACTGTTAGCTTGGCAATACCTGCATCAGCAGCTCAACCATTTATAAAGAAACAACATACAAGGAAGGCTGAGCTGAGGAATGCAGATGTTTATGATAAGAAGGAACAAAAATATGTAAATCATTCCTAAGGCAAACAATTAATAAGAAAAATACATTTACTGTTAGTGAAAAATACAAATGGTAATCCATACTTCATGGAGCTATGGGCTTCTTTCATGGGGAGAATGGACTTAACATTCAATATTTTGACAATTTTAAGACAGGTTGAACTGTCATTTGCAGTCTGAACTTGGAACTCAGGAGTCCAGGGAAGGCATGATCAGGAAATAAAGCCTTGTAATTGTTGTTTTCTTGGTGAATTTTATGGAAATCTATGCAACTCATAAATATGAAGATTGCGTGAAAGTTTCTGAAGTGTTTCAGTTCACATGATATATATCCAAAATATTTTAATATTTGGAAGATTTAAAGTTAGCCAGAGGTTTGGGTCTGTATAAGAAAAAAAAAGTTAACATGAACAAAGCAAGCATGTGAAGAGAAAACTTCTTACTATGACTAGTAACCAGCTACTGGCTAGCACACTTCACTCCAGGCATTCTTCTTTGTAAAGAACAGATGGGACTTATCCCCACTGAACTGACTGCAGCAAAAACATCTTAAAAAATGTGACCCGATCAAATGAAAATCTCACTGTATGAAGCCTTTGCTGAATGTATGTATCTAAATCAGTTCCCTTAAGCTTYAGATTTATAGAACAAGCAGAATTTAATATTCTTAGCCACTACTACATTTCAGTAGGGTTTTTTTTTTTTTTAAGATACTACACAACAGACAAGCATTTAGATCGAAGCAGAAATTATGACTTTCCTTTGGTAAAGCCAATCAAAATATTAACTCAAAATGTGGAGGAGGTGCAGACTGGAAAAGGTGATTGATGCTTGTGACTACTTAGCACAATTTTCCTTTAAGACTTAAATTGTCTTGAAATTTCGGGATCCTGGAATGAGTGGTGCAGGCAGGCAGGCAAAGCCTTTAGTAGCAAGCTACTGTCTCACAGAAAGACATTTTCAGCTTCCGCTCCAGCTGCTAATTAACTGTCTGACAAAAAGACATTTTCACCTTCCGCACCAGCTGCTAATTAAGAAAAAAAAAAAAAAAAAAAAAAAAAAAAAAAACCCGAACAACCAAAAACCCAAGTCACATGTTCAGCTTGACTTCAGACAAGGGCAACCTGCTCTTTTATAGCTTCTAGGGAAAAAAAAAGGCGTTGTTAGTAGTTATTAAAAATGGATATAATGATTTGGACATTGATCCTTGGTGAAGACGTGGATGGGCTTATGCTTGAAGTCCCAGAATTAGTCCAATGTATGCTCAAGGAGAATGTTTATTTTAAATGGAGAATAAGAAACCTATTTGTTAAAGACAGGTACTGCAGCTCAATGCTGGGCCCTGCTCTTTGCCTGACTGAAGGCAAAAGCCTCTTACAGTCTAGGTAAGCAAAATGAAAACAAATGAAGGATACATAATTATAGATTTTTTTAATACCCTTCCCCAAAAAGAAAGGACCGTTGATAAATCCTGCAGCCATGGCAAAAGTTTCAAACAATTCTGAAATATGTAGGTCAGTTCCATTAAAAATCAAGTATCCTTGCTCAGGTTTTAGGAGAGTAACTGTTTAAGTATCAGTGAGCTCCTCAGAATAGGCTAAAAATTAGGTTTCGCAGCAATGCAAGTTTACATGAGAAGGGAATTAGATTTGCTGTATTCCATCTCTTTCTGAACCGAGTAGGAGGCACAAACCGACACTGAAAGTTTTGCCATGGACTGTCTCTACTTTCCAAACGACCGAGCGTTACCTCTCTGGCTTTTTGTGCTGCAAGTTCAGCTTGTCGCTGTCGCTCGAGTTCTTCGAGCAACTGTTTTTCCATGATGCGTTTAGCCTCCTCCACCCTGCGCAGAACCTCTCGCTCAATCTCATCCTTCCGTTTCTCCAGTTCTTCTTCTACGCGCTTGGCCACGAGCTCTTCTACTCTTCGAGCAGTTTCTTCCTCTATGAGCTTCTCTTCAATTTCTTGTTGGCGACTAGAAGAAGCAAACACAAAGATTACTTTTTTCATCAGTAAAAAAAAAAAAAAGAATTATACTGACATAAACATTTGCAAACACACAGCACCAACCGTGCTGCAGAAGCCTTATTCCTTGCAGCTCCTTTGCTTAAGAGTGGTAGCGTCAAYACACTTCCCTTAGACATAAGGCAAAACAAGGTTTCTTTGACAGAGCATACAGAGAAGCCACGTTATTAAGTATCTTTCCATTGCTCAAGACATCAAAATCAACAAGACAATGTATCAGGCTACTTCTTGCTATGGGAAAGGTAATTTTTAGAATAAACAGCAAGAGAAGAAAGGAGAGAGGAAAAWAAAAGAAACGACATGCRCCTTTCCTGCTTCAGGAATTTAAACATCCTCAGTTTTATATTACAGTTAGCATTAAAATTTTGCCTTTAAAATCTCCATCTCTGAAACAACAAACTGCTAAATAAATTTAAAAGACAGAAGAAATGAAATCTCATTTTAATATTATTAGTATGGATTCCAGGTACTGTTTCTGTACTTTAGTTGTCCAATAATTTATCTGTCCAATCTCAAATATTTCAGCTCTCCTTAACTTCCTTATTGTGGTATTGTTTCCATCCCMGTTATCCACAATAAAATACAAMATTTCCATGACTAAATAAATCCTTSCAACGTTTACTTTCTTGCTTAACAATTTAGAAGCTTTTTTTCAAACAACTTCTCTTTCTTCTTTTGTTTGAAGGCAACTCTATCACTTAGCCTGAGCACTGTTAAAACTTTCAGTAAAAAGGATATAGTAAAAGTCAATATCCATGTTTATTACCAGCTAAGAACAAACTCTTCCAGACAGATACTCTTCCAGGTTTCCTAACTATGATAGGTTTCCTATGACAGGGCAAGTAGTATTCACACATTAACTAGGTAGGTATTTATATGTGTTTATATTTATATAAAATCTAAATACAAAATGAGGTATTATTTATTACAGATTATCATAGGCTTCAAGGGAGAAGGTTGTTCTGATTAAACCGGAAGTTCAGTTTCAAGGTTAAAGTATTCCATGAAGTATGGAAAAGTGTTACAAACATATCTCTAGCCTGTCAGCACAAGAAACCAACAATTTCCAGTAACATGTATCTGATGCAATTTCCTGTCATGCTCATAATGCTTGCCTTTTATTATCTTCTTTCGGTTGACAGTCACAAAAATAGCTTTAAAGTTGCAGCATTTACTAAATTTTAGATTTCCCTGTGTGCAATTTGCAAAAACGCCTACTTGGGAGACACTGAAGTATGGATCCCTCATGCACAGCACATGTGAAATACCAAGGTGAAAGGCTTGCAAAATCCCCARTCTTGTATCATCTTTTCAAAATTGTTCTGAAGCAAATTCTTATTTCCATTTAATTCAGTTAAATGGATTCTAGATATTGAGCCCCAGCAGAGGCCTTCATTCCTCAGAAGATGGCAAAATTATCCAGTAACACCAGGCCAGCATTATCTTTTCCTAAAGCAACACAAAATATCTTGGCGATTTTTGAATAGGAAAAAACAAACTACTACGCAGAAAAACACATCCACCCCATTATCTTACTGCACTTCATCAAGCCACTATTACTTGTGGTCCTTTATGGAAGGAAGATGGAAAAGGGGGTCATGAGTTTATTTTTTAAAATGACTCTTCAGACTATTTTTTATACCAAATAACATCTTATTTAAAAAACCCTTTTCTTCATTCAGCAGCACGTATTCTCACAGCCCTTTTAGTGAGGCAGCTTGGCATACACTAACGGCTGTTCTGTAGAAACAGATTTTTCAGAAAGCTTGCAATTGAGCATTTTATTCAATTGCGCTTTKAGTATTAGGGGAACCTGGAATAACAAATTAAGTTTAAAAAAAGTCACTTGTGCAAAGCAACTGATGACGTACTCAAATCAAGTACTGTRCTTCCACAAGTTTCTCCTCACCTCCTTAAATTCATTTGTACTACACAAATATATGTTTCTACATTTACAGACAAAGACGCTATTTTAAATAGCTTCTGAGGATATGAACACTGGAAAAAGAAAAGTAGTGATATGGAATCAAGGCAAAATATCTTCTCAAATATCATTTATAAAGTCACCTTTATAAGGTAATAAGCTAATCATTTACAAAACCCGTAAAAGTAACATATTTGCAATAAAGGAGCTTGACATTTATGTTGGTGTTTGTAGTTCGAYTGTGTTTATAATTCGTTGTGGGGTCTCCTTCTCTGGAGGTCTTCCAAACCCACCAGGATGCCACGCTGTGCCACGTGCTCTGGGTGTCCCTGCTGGAGGAAGGGGGGTTGGACTAGATGATCTCTAGAGGTCCCTTCCAACTTCAACCATTCTGTGATTCTATGTTTCTGTGACAGTATCTATTCATTTCTTACCACATATGTATGGTTTATATGTATATTTGATACACAGATGTGGATGTGAATTTATGCCCACTTATTGAGTAGCAAATCTAGAGAAACAGAAAAGTCACTGAGGTCTATATATTTTTAGTATGCTCTTTTACTTCTTAAAGACTAATTCTATAAAATCTGTAAAAAAGACTGCATACAGTTCAGTAGGTTTCTGACAAAAAAAAAAAAAAAAAAACGCAAAGCTGATGTGCTTGCAAGGTTCATGCAGAAAATTACCATCTCAACAAAAAGCAGAAACTGTACTAAGATGAAAAACTAACGAAGGGATTCACTTCCATTGTATGAGCTAGCTAATTCAGTCTGCCAGAAAGTTGCTTCTTTTCTTCATTAGCATCAGTACATATTAACACAATTTACWGTGCACAATTTACACTTATTGTAGTTTTCTGCTTTGTTAATGTATTGCTTGTTCCTTTTGAAATTTGAGGTGCATTTTAAAAATATCACAGTTCTAAGGTTGGTATTTTCATGTATTGTTCTCTCCTCAGAAGTTTACCAAACTACTATTAATCTCAATCAAATATCATGTTTTACCCATACAAAAATCCATGTGYATTTTACATTTTCAAAACTACAGATTTTTATAGAAATCATACTACAGAAAACAGACTTGAAATATATGCTGCAGTGTCATATATTAATAAACTACAGATCAGGCTATTTGCAGATGGAGCACCAGTGATAAAATACTTTAACTATATTAGAGATTGTGAACACTTAATTTGCCACAGGCGCTTGAGCACGTCCCCTGCTTCTTGTTTTAAACCTTGGACAGAAACCAACCATAAACTTCTAAGCCAAGACTAGTAACGTGTAATATTTCAATTATATAACGTAACACATATCTATTTTGTGATTTGCATAACATTTTCTTTCTTCTACCTTAAACACACTTTGGAGGTACTTARAGAAATACATATGTACTAAAGAGACTTTGGAAGAATATTAAGATAATGATTAAAAAACACCTATATTGAGTATAGATGAGTATTCAAACATTTTCCTTTTTTTCCCCTGTCACTCTAATGATACATGCAATATCTTTTACAAATTTAGTTACTGCAGAGAATTATAAACCATAAAAGTCAATAACTTGGAAAGTTTTTTCACATATCTTTGTGCTACTCTGCAAGTTTTTGAGGACATCACTAAAAAATTMTGAAATTTACAAAGCAGATACTCAACAGCCAAACAGAACCAAAAGTGGTAACTTCCAGTGACCAGGCCTTCTGAACTACAGATTACAGGAATTACTGCATTCAAGCTGTACAGTGGGAATAAAGCTCAAAGCAAAATTCTACCCTGGAGAATTAGCTGAATTCACTAGCTTCACACAAACAGCTACATTTGAATTCAGTATTTAAATTCACTGCTCCCATAAATGAGAACATTCAGGAACAAGAATCACCATCACAACTTTTACAATGGTTCTGTTAGCTGTATTGCAGAATGCTCTTCTTCRGTAACTTAACATTAATTACTACACAGCTGAACTCCTATTCCATCTTATTTGAACAAAATGTATCCGTCTCTGTAGATTTTATGAGGAACTTCACAGTATCAGCAGGAACCGGGCAAGGAAAAGACTTCTAAGCAAAACAAGCCCCCCAGGCCTCACTGTCCCCTTTGGAGCAAGGCAGACAGATGATGGATGGATGGATGGATGGATGGATGGATGGATGGATGGATGGATGGATGGATAAAAAAAGAAACCACTGGTTAAGATAACTGTTATACTCCACTCCTTTAAAGCAACAAGACAGGCAACCCCACAAGCTCATAGCAATATAAGCTCCATGAGGGAGGAAAGAAAAGAGAGGGAGAAGGAAGGGGAGGGGCACACGGGCGGCAGGGCMGCACAAAGCCTCAAGACGGCAGAGGCCTCGGCCACACAGGGAAGTTTAAGTTTAAAGGCAGCAGGAGGTGGGGAAAGGGCTCGGCCAGGTGACAGGGAGGCCACGTGCCGCGGGGCTCCCCCCCTCCCCATGGAGCCGGCGGCGCRGAAACGAAGGCGGGAAGAGGGGCACAAGCTGGGCCTCGGCGAGGGCCTGGTGCCCCTTTGCTGAATGGCCAAGGGTGGTTTTGGGGGGCGCGAAGGCAGCGGCACCTTAGGCCGCTCCTTCCCGCCGCCGCCGCCCCCTCGCACTTACATTTTCCGCTGCCGCTCGAACTCGGCCTTCTTCTCCTCCTCCTCGCGCTTCTGCTTCTCGTCGAGGCTGCTGCGCTTGCTCACAGTGCGCCCGAAGATGTCGATGCGGTCGGGCGGGGAGGAGGCGCGTTCGCGCTCGCGCTCCCGATCGCGGCGGGACGAGGGGGCCGTGTTGGAGCGGGAACGGGAGCGCGACTCGCGCCGCCGGGTCCGTTTGCTCTCCCGCGACTTGGAGCGCTTCCGCGCGCGCTCCTTCTCCCGCGAGCGGGACCGCGAGCGGCTCCGGTTCTTCTTGTTGTGCTTGGAGCTCTTGGTGTGCTTGGAGCGGGACGAGCTCCGGCTGCGGGAGCGACCCATCCCGACCGAGCAAGAGGCCGCGCCGGCGGCCGCACCTCCCCGCCCCGCTCCCCGCCCCTTTCGCTAGCGGGGCCCGCGAGAGGAGCGAGGAGGCCCCGCGCGCATCGACGCCGCCCCGCCGGGCCGCTCTCGCCTCCGCTGCCCCCGCGCCGCTCGACGAGCACAAGGAGAAGGCCCCCGAGCTGCGGCAAGGCCGGACGCAGACAAGATGGCGGCRCTGCCAGAGCGGTGACTCTCCCCTGCCAACCCACAATGCGCCGCGCGGCGCYCCGGCCGTTGGCGCCGCGCCCCGCCTCCGGCGTCCTCGCCGGAAGGACCCGAAGGCGCTCGGGGAGGCTCGGCCACCAATGGCAGCCGGCGCTTGAGGAGGAAGTGGCGTCAGGCGGCGGCTGTCTCTGCGCATGCGCTGCCGCGAGAGGCGGTTGACGGGAGGTGGCTCGGGGTCGGTGGGGTGGCCGTTGAGCGGCCCTGGGGCGGGCGGTTGCGGAGTGGCCTCGCTCTCCTCCTCGGCGGTCTCCGCAACCTCCCTGCGGGAARGCTGCAAACGGGCGGTGTGTTGGAGTGGGGCAGGCCCTTGCGCTGTCTGCTTGGAGCGTTTCGGTGGGCCTTCGCAGCGCAGAGGCTGGCTGCGAGTGAGCGCGGGGCGAGGGGTCACCTCTGKGAGCGGCCTGGGGAGCCTGAGCCTGTACCAGCAACCGCGGCGTCCCGGGGAGGCGCGGGCCCCGCAGCTGGACAGTTATTTATCGTTACTGTTTTTTCTTAACCCTTGGATAAGTCTCAAAAGGGAGTAAAAGGAGTCGTCTGCTGCCAAATACTTTTTTTTTTATTGGTGTTCTTTTGAACTTCTAAGTCGTTGTATACTGTTTTGTTGTAGCTGAGCTGTAGCTTGGTACAATGGTGTCCTTTTATGTATGTATTTAACTTTTATGTGCAGTGACTTTGCCTAGATATGTTGTTGGCTTCACAGAATATTTAAGGTTGGAAGGGACCTCTACAGATCATCTAGTCCAACCTTCCTGCTCAAGCAGACACACCTAGAGCATGTGGCACAGGGTGGCATCCAGGYGGGTTTTGAAGACCTCCAGAGAAGGAGACTCCACAACCTCCCTGGGCAGCCTGTTCCAGGGCTCTGTCACCCTAACAGTAAAGAAGTTCTTCCTCACCTGGAGATGAAACTTCCTGTGTTGCATCTTATGGCCATTTCCCCTGTCCTGTCACTGGCCACCAATGAAAACAGCTTGTCCCCTTCCTGCCTGCCCCTTCCTGAACTTACACATGTTGATCATATCCCCTCTCAGCCTTCTCTTCTCCAGAGAAAACAGGCCAAGTTCATTCAGTCTCCTSTCATACGAGAGATGTTCCATTCCCTTAATCATCCTGGTTGCCCTTCTGTGGACCCTCTCGAGAAGCTCTACGTCCCTCTTATACTGGGGAGCCCAGAGCTGCACACAGTACTCCAGGTGAGGCCTCACCAGAGCTGAGGAGAGGGGCAGAATCACCTCCCTTAAGGCTTAAGCCTTCCCCTTTGATAACAGCAGTCTATTGCGTGTTCTAAGCAAAACCTTTTAGCAGCTTCAGTTAAGGCAGAAAACATGATCCTAGTATACACAATATACATACACAATAGCCATCTGTGGWTAAAAATTTTTCTTTTTTAATCCCAGATTTATTGTGTAATAGTCTTGTCTACTGTAACAGACATCTCAGCTGATGTTATTGTTGATCCCACATGAACAGGTGAGAGGTGTAGGCTAGGCCGGCCTCATCTTTATTTTCACTAGAAGTTATCTGCTGAGGTATCTTTCAAAAAAGCTCCATTCAATAGGTTGAGATTTGTAATATCTTTGATAGTCGTATTTTGCAAAGCACTTGGTTAGTTGACAGAAATCATCTCAAAAATGTCTCTTTTTTTTCCATCTAATTCATCTGACTGAGTTCTTATATATATATATATGCACACACACACACACACATATATATAGATGGAAATCTTGAAATTTGGGTTACTCTACTTYGTAAATAAAGTTGAATTATTTTTTTTCTACTTGGCCACAGAATGATGGTCACTGAAAAAGCACATCAGGAATTTTAGGGTTGCAGATCTTTGTGATGTGTGTCCATATCTGACTATGAAGTAGCCCATGTAGCAGGTTCCTACCAAGGAAGTTGGCACTTGGCCCTTTTGGCTAAGGTCCAGGTAGCTGAGTTTCCAGCCAGACTTTGCATAATTTCTTGGCTACAATTGATTATTGAATCTTTTAATAGGAAGTTCTTGCTTTTTTTAGAAGTTACACCATAATTTCAACAGTACATTCAACACTGGATAAACCAGACCTAAGTTGGAATACAGAAAAATTTTTTTTCCCCCATGTGAATATATTCAGTATATTCAAATGTAGAATTGAATTTGCTGCTTAAAACAGTTGCCTTATGGTTGGAAAGCACCTTATTTGGCAGCCAAATTCTGGCCTAATTAGGGCACCTCACCCTGCTATGACATGGCTACTGTCATGAGATGAAATCTGTCCCCACTGGGCATTTGAGCAATGGTCCTACAGGGAGAATGTGTTGTCATAACCTCCAGATTATGCCTCTGATCTCACTTATGCCACCGCTTTTGSCATTAGTTGGGTCAAGAGGAATCATGGATGCTTAAAGGAGGGTTGCTGTGGTTGATGCTAGAGCGTAGCACTGCTGTGCAGGATCTTCTGAACGGATTTGAAATGGAAGGTTTCTGGAGGATAAACAATAGAGCGTAATAGTGTAAGGAATGGGATATATAAYATGCAGTCATACTCTTGCTCACACTCTGGCATCCTCTTGCTTACAGTGGTAGCATGACAGAAGAAGCACAGAAGAGAGAAATCACAGAATGGTTGAGGTTGGAAGGGACCTCTAGAGATCGCCTAGTCCAACTCCCTGCTTGAGCAGGGACCCCAGTACTTCCTTCCCATCTAGCATGAGGCACGTCTAGCTCTCCCCAAACCTGCACTAAAGCACACCCGAAGCATGAGGGACCCACTCAGAAATGTTCAGAAGGATGTTATGATTTAACTGTTAAGAGTGTTGAGGACGATTTTGTCTATTTAGGCCTGTAGTCGGGTTGCTTTTGGTAATACCCCAGTTCTCAGCCCACAAAAGATTCTTGGGGAGATTAAAAAAAAAAAAAAAAAAAAAAAAGGTGTTTTGAATGTTCTTTCATAGTAGCTATTTGGGCCTGAGTTTATTACAGGACTAGAAACTATGTACCCATAGAAACCATGTTTGCTTTTAGTGTGAACCTCAGTGACTCATGTCACATTCTGGTTCACAGAAGTTATATGTGTGTAGAAGTTGAATTGCCTCTACATGCACTTTTTTTTTTTTTTTTCCCTCCACACCTAATGTCGAAGTTACTTGTTTTGCTTATGCTTTTCTGTCAACTACTTTTTCCTCTCTCTCTCTTGCTATCTCTCTCAGCAGCACTGTAGCTACTGAACTCTAGAGATGGAGGGAGATGAAGCATCTGGGAGAGCAGAAAACCACCTCTGAAGAAGAAATGACAGAAATACAGAACAATTGGCATAGAGGAAAAAACTATTTTTCTAAAACTTAAGAGAGTAAGTCATTGAAACAGGTGCTGCAGAAGGACTCCTTTGAAAAGGGGAACATTTAGTTTAAAAAATAGAGAGGAAATCCTGTACCAACAGAATTAAAAATCAATAGGGAGGTTTTCACATTGTATTTCTACAAAAAGTTGGATAGGTTGTATACATACATACAATTATTAGTTGAACAATCCTGTGGTGAAAAAGAAAATACAGGTTTTTAATTGTGTATAGAACTGTGTATTTTAAAAGATATTCATATCCTTGAAAAATAAACAATACAATACAATACCGAATTCTTGTTGAAGGTGTTTTGTAGTTCAGGTACAAAAAAAAAATGGCACAGCTTGAGTAATTGGGACTAATTTGTGGTATGTACTAATCAATTTAAGAACATATTTGTTTTCCCAAATAGTCTTATTTTTAATAAAATAAACAATTACCAAGATCATAATTGTTGTGGTAGTTTTTAAATAGCATGAATTTAAATTAATGGGGACATTTTCAAATTTTATTTAAGTTTTTAATAACGTTTGAACTACTGCTTTTTACATGTGAGAAGGGAAAATATTCATTGATTTGCTTTATTGTCATTGTATAGCCCATTTAGATCATGCTCTTGAATGATATTAGTAGTGGAGAACATAACTTTTGATTAAAACTTGAGGCACTTATTTGTTAAGATGTGAGTCAATGTTCAACTTTTCTTTTTCCATGGTGAGTGAAATAAAGCAATTCATTGGTACTATATATAGTATGCAAAACAACCAACCTTGTCAGAAGCTGCATGATCTTGGAGATACCCAAACWCTGTAGGTCTACCCTGGTTTATCTGGAAGATCTTTCAACATTTGCAGCTGTAGGCATGTCGAACTAGGAACTTCAGCCCAACCAGATGCAGAAATAAGTTGGAGGGTCCTCTAAATCTTACAAGAAACTGGTCCAGTAGGAGTATTTGACTATATATATGTATGCATATGTATGAGTGTATATATATGTATATGTATTTATATAGAAAGAGCAGCAAAGGGCACTCTTGTTCAAACACATGAGTTGCTCTTGATCCGGGGGTTAGACTAGGTAGACAAACAAGAGGACGCGCTTCAGACGTCATATCAACACCTCTTCCCTTCCAGGAAAGCGTCTTAATCATTGTGCTGCTGACCTTCGGAGAAGGGGGAGAGGAGAGTTGGGTGCAAAGTCCCCTTGTACTTCTTCATTTGGCGCCAAACAGTCTCACAAAACATGATACAGGATCAGTGAACGTAGGTGTAGAAGTGAGCCATCTCAGGTTTAGGTCCTTGTTTGTGAGACTAGTTTTTCATTTTCTTAAATAATCATGGGAACAAAAAAGAGCTAATCCTGACAGCTGGGACGCAAGACATGACAAGTGCTGTAACCACTAGGATATTACATAAGACTACTCATACAGCAGCTGTTTTAAAGAGAGCGAGCTGTGCTCAGCTCTTCAAAGACTCTCCCAGGCACTGCCCTCAGGGAAGACCTCCAAGTTTTGGCTCCCAAAGAGATGAAGATGCCACCCTTGGAGTGCTGACTCAGACACCTCAGCTTTACGGGGAGAGCGCCACACCTCTCCGTAGAGCATTTCCG